TCATTGTTGCCAGCAATGGTAAATAAATTAGAGTGAGGGAATTCGGTGAGGGAAGTCGAATAGGGAAATCGGTGAGGGAAATCGAAGAGGGAAGTGACACAGGTAAAGTGTCACTACCAAATTTTTAAAAAGTCAGTAATGACAAGATTACATATATGATTGCAAATAAACTTAATTAAAAAATTACATTTTAGACCATTTGTTTTATCAGTAGAGCCAAAAACAAACAAAAAAAACCAATATGTCAATTTCCGCACGCTCGTAGGAAAAATGTTGTATCTACCTAACACGAGCGTAAAGTATCTTTTCCGCACTTATGGCTTGCACGAACTCAATTTCCTGCACTTGTTAGGTAAATAACTATTTTCTGTGATAGTTGATCTACGTTTTTTTTTGTATACAGGTTTAGCCAAAAGTCTGGAAACGCCGAAAACGGCTTATTATCTCCAAATAGTTTCACGAAATATTGCACCTGGGGTTTATTCAACATGAGGAATTCAAAAATAGTATCTGCGGTGTTGCAAAATCTAAATTTTTTCTGCAAACTAATCCAACTTAACTTTTTCAATTGGAATGGAGTTTTTTTTTTTTTTTTTTTCGTCGCCTTTCATTCCTTGTATCAACTTTAGTGTAGCCCCAAATTTTTAAACTCTTATCTTCATTAATTTCCTAATCACAATAAAAATCTCGAATCATTTTTTTTTTTAAATACTCAAATTTATAAGTATGCTACGTTTTTTCGGTGATGAAAAGTTTTTTTTAAAAAAAAATACGTAATTTAATGAAGATACTTGAGATTGTAGGACTGGAAGTCGAAGTGCGTGCAAATTAAGCCCTAACTTAGGATTAAACAATTCGGAGAGTAGGGGTGGGTTTATTTTTGGGCGCCACCGACTCAGGACAGATGAGTCGGATTCTCCAGGATTTTATCTGCTGATGGCTCCAGGTCCTTCCAATTCAAAGTAAAATAAATTATCAAAAAAACTAGAATCAGGCTGAGTGCATAAAACCAAATAGAAGTCAATATAAATCAAATGCTATAGAGTCTATTTATTGATTATATAAAAGCAATGAAATAAAGTCACAATTTATCAATTTTGTGGTTATAGTCCACAATGCAACAATAGAAGAATTAAAATAATGAAAAAAAATAAACAATTAGGTTAGCAATAATACCAATCAAAGAATTAATAGTAGGTACTACTATTAGGCTGTCCAAACCACGTGATTTTTCAATATGGCGACTGTGGCAAATTTGACGTTTGTTTGTTTATCTTGAGTTAATTTGGAATATTAAGCTAATTACAGTTTACTTTGTTATAATATACTTTTTGAGATGCACAGTGAATATTTAAAGACTTAAATGAAATTCACTCTGACTGGTTTGTGATTTCTGAGAAACAGACCTAATGACAGTGTCTCTCGCTTTCGACGGAGCTAATGATAATGGATAATGGAGCATACTGGGTTCCAAATTTCTGAGTGCCTACGACAACAACGTTTCTATCTGGATTTATGAGTTGAAGGACAGGATGTTGAAATTTTAACTAGTTCTTGACATGCCAAGTATGTGAAATCGAGTTTGTGGATTTGGGTATCGTTAAGGGTATTGTTGATTCAACATGGTAGACTAACAAACAATATCTACTCGTAACGACCCAACACCTCTATTCGTATTAATCCGCATTGCTCTCCGCTTGCGGATCAGTTAGATCGCCACGCGACCAAATCTATTGTGCAGTTTAGATAACATATGTGAGATTAGTAATAGATCGATTAAGGAGGATTGTTCAAGCTCAATCTTCTTTATTGTAATAATTCTACATTATTATTGTTACAAAATTTCTTCGAGATGCCGGCCGGAATCTAGGAATCGAATGATTACGTCTCGCGCGACTTTACGGGGAATTCTATTGTTTCCAAGCAGTGTGCTGGGTTTTTCTGGATAGATCCAAAGTACCTACGATGTCGACTATAAATAGCGCGTAGTAGTAGGTTTCTTCGTCTATCTCGAAATTAACTCATCGAGGTGTACGGGTGACGTCACCACTACCAGGTGCTGATAGTGGTGACGCGATTCGAAAACCGGCGAACGTACGCCTTGTGGTCTTCCTACGGTCCGCTCTGTCTCTCTTGGTCGCCAGTGTGTCAGTTTATACGTCCATTTCTATTGATCTTGTCGAAAGCAGCAAAGGAGGACAATTTAAACGAAACAAATATGTCCTCAAAACAATTATGAAAGGGTGTCACTGTCAGATCTACGTGGGTGACCCGAAAGCGACGGTTCCGAATAGAGCCGTAAGGCGACAAGCCGACAAAGTGCCAATCAAGGCTTGGAGTATTATGAATAACAACGGCGCGGCGAAGGGATGCGAAGGACAAACGGGGTTGTAGAATTCTTTTCTACAGAAACGATTTTCATTTAAAAAAAAGTTAGGTGACCGGGCTATACTGCATATTTATTTAGGGGAAAAAGTGCAGTATAGGTCGGTTACAAATAAACAGTATTTAATTTATGCGGTCTAGCTAGAACTATACGGACGGGTTAATAAGGGTTCGTTTAGGTTAATCTGCATTTTTTTATAGTTTTTAAGGTATCAAGGGTATTATAACGATTGTGACGGAACTAGCTATTGCCCCTTCTTGGGCTTTAGTCAAATCGCACCAGGGATGCTAAAAGCTTTTACTTTGACTGACTGTAAAAAACCATTAGGTGTTGGATCATTTAAGCCTTGTATTGGGTTAGGGGTGCCTTGATTCTCATATATACAAATAAAACGCTGGAATAGAATAGTTATCAATTTGATTAATAAATGTAAGTAATTCGGTATAGTCAGCAATCAAATCCTATCCAAAAATTCCTAATTGGACGTTCAGTCGAACTACAAATTTTATACTAATCTAAAGCAAAGTTTTCTAAAGTAAGTATATTGATTTTTAAAAAGTAGGGGAATCTGATAATGATAATAACATCATTTATGGTTAAATGTTCAATGAACGAGAACACAAATTAACTAATTAAATGCACGAGAGCACAACATAAATAATTCATCAACTTCAATCACTCCACTGCAATCACAAAATGTTTATTGATCCTTGAAAGTTCTTTTATTTATTGAGAGTTAACACATTGAGCACTTTTCTGCTGAAGTCTGTGAACAATATGTGCAAAAAAAGTCTTTTTATATGCTCAGTTTCTATAGACAAATGTACAAGTATTAATTTCACGAATGTGAAAACCATATTCCTGCATTGAACGTTAGAATACACTCCAATTTATAGTGCATTTCAAGCGAATCACTAATCAGTATTTATTCACTTATTGTTCGACTGTTAGAGAAATTGTAACGGTCTTACTTGCTTAATCCGGTTCATGCAGATAAATCCACAAGGCGATTATTTATCCAATTATCACCACTATTCACAATGGCAGCTAGGGAATTTTCCACTGAGATGAAAAGAAAACACAATGATATACAGGTGCGTTGGAGCCCGTCGAGAGTGAGAGAGATAGAGCCAAAAACAAGCGTAGGAAAGAATTTTGCTCGTCCGAGATGACTTGCAACAATTAGGGGTTAATTACATGAATTGTAATCAATAATATAGACCATGTCAGGCCTTGAGATACAGAGAGTGAGAGTAGTATTTTACTATAAATCGCGCGTACTAACGGGGGTTTTTGGGGGTTTTGCTCCGCTGACCAATCACACGGCGAGAAAGGTTCACTGCCTTATAAGGTAATGAAGAATCCTGCAATTTTACCGGTTCAAAGGGTTGTTGTTGCCGGTTTTACAGGCATCTATTTTTAGAATATTATTTTTATGGTAAATAATAGAGAGGAAAATTATATTTAATTGGAAATAACAAAATTTACACTAGTTGTGGGTTATTTCCGCAACAACGAGGTGCCTTCAACGTTTAATGTCCGACTTAATTATTATTTTTTTTATGAGAAAATTCTGAATGAATTTTGAATAAATTAATCTAAAACAAATCAAGTACCTACCTGCAAAAAAATAGTCATAACACCCTAGGGAATTATTTCCTATTTGAAAAAATAGTCATTACGCCCTAGGGCGGTATTTTTAAGAATAACGCCCTAGGGAATTATTTCGTATTTAACTGACTTTGACATAATGTCATTATTTCTTGAATAATATACTAGTCGGACATTAATTAAATAAAGAACTCTTTAGGTGACCGGGCTATACTGCATATTTATTTAGAGGAAAAAGTGCATTATAGCTCTAGCTCGGTTGCAAATAAACAGTATTTTCAGTAAAATTTCAATTTGTAATTTTTCAATTATAGATTTCCAGATTTCCGGTGAAAAATGTTCTTTAAAATGCACTATTTGAATGTTTAAAAAACAAATTTTAATAAAAATGCATTTTAGGTGACCGGGCTATACTGCACTTTTACCCAGCTTTTAGACTTCTCTTTACATCCACGCGACCCATAATAACTTTTCAACTCCATTTGTGAAAAATGCTATAAAGGTTTGCATCAGAAAACACGAAACAATGGTATATCTATCATTCATGGAAACTCTCAAAAAAGTCCCTAATTCCCCAAAAATAAAATAACTATTCTTTTTTTAAAGATTAGTACCTATAAATTTTATATTTGAAAAGATATTTAAAAATTGTTGATTTGTGTGGCCAAAATTTTGTATAACCAAGGAACCATCTTCTTGAGGTCGAGATTGAGATGGAAATTTCTATATAATGTACTTTGGATACCCCTTTCTACGAATATCTGAGGAGTCGCGAAATAAATATTTAAAATTTCAGTCGGATAGCCCTCAAGTACTTCTGCAAAATAATTTAAGACGATTTGTTATCCTCGGCACAAAATAAAAACATCGCGAAGTAAGTAGGACTAGAATTTATGAAAGTTTTGTGGTGTGTAAAATCATTCGCCATTTGATCTCTCAACCGTGTACACATTTTTGTGCGGGGGAGAGGGCGAAATAAAGAGAAATGCCTCGTAAATCTCACCTGTCTGCTTCTCGGCCACTTTTAGTGTAAATCCTTCGAGCAGTACTGGATCGCTTCGGCCTTTGCTGTTTGCGGCGTAGATTACCATTTTCAGTTCTCTTCCCGAATCCAGACCACTCACGATAAATAACGGGAATTTAGCTGTAACGTTTGCCTGGATTCCGCCAGTTTTCCCGTCGTAAACCTACGGAAGAAATTTACCAGAAGTTAGGAAATGCACTCTAAATGGCCGGCGTTACTTATGTACGTTACAAGAAATTTGTTTTTTTGCCAAATACCGGTATTGAAACATTGATTGACATAGATGGTGTGAAATTGTTTGGCTAGTTAGTGTGAACAGACAAAAGCTATTACACAATTTGCCGAAAATACTCAAATGGCGTGGGAAATTTTTTTGAGAGGCTTTTTTTGTGTTTGTTTCGCTAGAGATTGTGGCTGAAATTAGCTTCATATGCATATTCAGATTCGTGTATATTACAATCGACCAGATAATTATTGAAAAGAAAAATTGAAGAAACGCATAATTCAATCAAATATAGTATATTGTGTATTTAGGTGGAAAAGTGACACATTCTCAGCCGACGGTGTAAGTTGAAGGGTGAGGCGTAGCCGAGGCCGGCAAACACCGAAGGACGAGAATGTGCTTTTACACTGAAATACACATACTATTTTTCCTGCGATCGGTTAAATATCTGTTAAATGTTTATCTTTTTGTTCAAATTATTTAACAGTATGAGAATCACTTTCCCGGCCTAGACCGAAAAAGTGATTCCCGTATTGTTATTCATGGATTCCTTAGCAACTATTGAAACATAGAATATTTAGTTTTGCGACCTGTCAACTGGTCAAAAATACTGACATTTCTTGTCAATCAGAGAATTTTTTTTAAATATTATGTAGGGGATTTGTGGGATTCAGACAACGTAGAAATAACCCTTAGGCACATTGCAGGATATTTTCTCCAGTCAAGTTAGGTCTGGGAGAGTCACTACGGGGAAAAAACGATAATTTGTTTGAAAATTCGTGGAAAATTAATGATGCTTTGTAGGGATTTTTTGAAGTTTGATCGTGATAGATTTGACCTTTAAGCACAGTCCAGAAGACTTTTTGCAGTCAAGTTAGGTCTGGGAGGGTCATTACGGGGGGAAGTCGATAATTTGTTGGAAAATTCGTGAACTCTGCTCAAGGGTCCACTCTATCATCCTCAAACTTCAAAAAATCCCTACATAGCTGCCCAGGGTATTTGAAAAAAAGGGTCATATTCTGCAAATGGTGATAAAAGCATGAAATTTTGTGGAGATCTTTTCACATTGATTTTAAGCGATTTCACCCGCAGCACAGTTTGGTAAGACCCGTAGGATTCAAGATGGCGGCTTTTCTTTAGATAACTTAGAGAAAATATAGGCTTACGCGTTTTGATCCGATTTTAACGGTGTTGGTGTTATTTCTGAGTAACCTATGGGTAACTGAGCAAATAAAAGTAGTATTTTGTTCAAAAAACGTACCTGAAAATAGTTATTCCCAGGAAAAATTAGGAAAGTGCTTATTTTTATCGAATTTGACGACGAAGGAGATGGCAAAGACGTGAAGCAGCTCTTTGTCAGGCCGTCCAGGCCGAAGAAAGAAACTGTTCTAGTTGAAAACAACAACAAAACATACCGGCGTGTGTACTAAAAACGATTACTTGCCGCAGGCTCGTAGTTTTTAAGAAACAATAGTTATAACAAAATTTCAAACTCTACTTATATACATATAGGCATCTACATAGTAAAAACTTAATTATAGATAACACTGGTTTAATTGAAACTAATTTTATTAATTTTTTATTAGAAGAATAATTTTGATACGCCCCTGTTCCCTCACTATACGCATGATCGTTGATTGCCACGAAGATGAAGCAAATAATGAGCGCCAATCACGCACATACATGCACAGTTTTAACAGCTTTTCTTCGGACAGCCGCACTAGTCGCAATCCAGACTCAGACTCATGTCGTCAGTGTGTGTGCGTGCGCTCGTACAGTGCCGGCCCGAGACTACTTTTAGTATGGAGCAAGATCTGACTTTGGCGCCCCTAGTTTGAATGTGATTCGCATACGCGAGTATGGATTTTGACCACTATCTAATTTAATAGGTTTGTTCCAACCCGCCAAAAAAAACGGTTTCGGAACCACTCTGTATTTCGGTTTCTATGCAAAAATTTTAGGTTTTGCGCAGAATTCTGACGATAATATTACGGTTTCCTGCTGGGTTGGAACAAAGAAAAGCTCAATGCCTCTATTTATCCTACCAATTGAAAATTCAAAACATTTCTGTTCGTTGGTACAAAGTTCTCTTATTTACTAACATTTAGTTCACATTATTTGATGGGATCAATCAATAATCCACTTTGGTAATATCACTTATAACACTTATGGCCATTTCCACCAACTAGTTATTTTCGGGAAGCCTTAAACGATAAGTATTCCCTAGGCTGACAGTTTTCCATGGATAAATGTCAGTTTAGGGAATATTTATCGTAATAGTTTGTGGAAACGGCCATTAGGGCCGGTTTATTCACCTTCTGATAAACTGTCAGGTATGCAATCTGACCGATAAAAATGCAATCTCTAATTCCATTGGTTGTTTATCTGAATATAAATAAACCGGGCCTAATATATATAAAAATCGAACAAACAAAATTCGTGTGTTTGCATACTTTTGCATTAGCAAATTTATTTATGATTTTATATGACAATATCTGAGCCATAATAATATTTTCAATGGACAGCAGGGCTAGATCTGAAGGTTTCTCTTCTGCTAGAGTTGACCAGTAAGGTAAGTTTTAATTAACTTAAGCTTACTAATTTTTATTACCAAGGAACGAGTCGAAGGCGCCCCCCGAGGTCTGGCGCCTGGAGCGCTCGCTCAGTTCGCCTTATGGTAGGGCCGGCCCTGCGCTCGTATTTGTGGTTATGAAAATATTTTAAAGATTGAAAAGTAAAAGTACTTTCGATATTATATGGCACTGGCAAAAAACGTCGTTATCCGGCTGTACACCATATTGCAGAGGGACTAGGAGCTTCCAAGTGTGTAGCACTTCGGGGCTTTCATGACTTCACTGGCTGTGATAGCGTATCTTTTTTCGCGACAAAGGGGAAGAAGACAGCTTGGAAAACTTGAAATGCATTTGAGTGCATTCACCTACATCTCTTTGCCCCAGGAGAATGTCTGTGTTAAGGTTTTTGAACATCTAGAACAATTTACTTGCAAGATATATTGTGCCAAGTCTGAATTTAATAAAGTCGACAGTTAACGGAAACATTTATTCTGCACCGAAAACTGACCAATACATAGGATATCTCCAACATCAGCATCATTAATGCAACATACTTTAAGATCCGCTTATCAAGCAGGGCAAGTGTAGGGCCGGGCTATACAAATGCTAGAGGATGATGCATTATTATTTATTGTCGCCCAGTAACTGGGGGTGGGTAAAAAAGGAAAACTCGTGGCAGCCAATATGGTCTTCATTATCAAATATGGAACGCCTGCAGGGAATTAGAAAAATGTGGCTGTAAATCAGGGTGCAATTATTTGCGGTGTTCCTGTAATAAAGCGACACTGTGCTGTACGTTGCAATGCAAATGCAAAGGCCAGTGTGAAAATAAATAACAATGCTCACAGTTTCGAGATAGCTCATTTATTTTTCTATAAAAATTATCAGCATTTGCGAATTAACCTAATTAAATTTTGAATTAATTCCTGTTCAAATTGTGACCCTAGCAATACTACTGTACGCCACTGACAAATATATTTAAGGAAATTACAATATTTTAAGAGCATTGATCATCAGCTGATTCGTTGATATTCGGGGTTCCGGCGAGAACACACGCGCGGTCGCCCATTCCCTACGCGCTGGCAACAGTGTGCATTTTTACATGCATTATCAAAGTATGAGGGAGATTTGCTTGATATTTGATTTACCTATTAGACGAAGACATCGCTCAGATCAGGACTAGCTATTACAAATATTTTCAAATAAATACCTATCTAATTATTTTTTGTTATATCTGTTTATAATTTATTGGAATTTTTACTCCACATTCACAAGTAAAGTATTAAGAAATAGTAGTTAGGGGTTTCGGAAACATTGAAGAAAACTAAATTAAAGTATATATATAATTTAATTTGTTTATTTGGAAAACAATAAAATTGTAGGGGCGATTGACTTAAAAATAAAATAACGTAGGTAGTCTCTATATATCTATATGTGTTATATAGGCTACTTTTTATCCCGGAAAAATGCACGATTCCTGTGGGATAGTTTAGGTTATTTTAAGTTACAGGATACAGCTAATCTATAATAAAAAAATATATGGTTAGGCTCATTTTGAGTTTTGGCGCTTATTGTCTTGTGCAGTAAACCCTGAGATTTGTTCAATATTTTGAAAAAAAATATATATATAATAATATTGCAGTCCCTTCTAGCTGTCTGGAATATTGGAACATTTCGTGTTACAAAGTTGATCCCTAATAGGTAGCCCTTTTGGAAAAAGTGGGTCTACTAATTCTGTCAAAAGAAAATAGTCATAAAATGCTCTTAATTTAGGTAACATTTTTTCTTTCCAAAATACTTCGTCCCGATTTATCTAAAAAAAAAAAATCAGATCCAGTAATATCGAAGTCCTGATGCATCTCACTTCCCATTTACAAGATATAGGTAAGACAAGAGACTTTACCTGTTCAACTAAAATGCCGAAAGGACTCCAGATAATAAAGTAACATGACTGTTTGTTAGCTATAGCTAACTGGCCTGGTACTTGATAGTAGTAGTTATGGTTTCTTTTCAATTTCAATGCACCATCTTCTATAGTGGCAAAAGTAATTTTTCCTGTTTGAATTCCTTCTGTTGGATCCATTTTGGCCATGGTGAAGGGACATTTAACCTCTATTAGGAAATTATTTTCTATAACAAAACCATCCGGGCTTGCAGCTGAATAATATTCCTTTTTCCCTATAAACAGCCCACAAGGTACAACTTGTAAATTGTTTTTTTTTTCAAATTCCAAAATTGCTCGTGCCTTACTTTCGTTGCGATCCTTTGTGTCTTTATTTCCCGAGAAAGTTCCATATAATAAAGTTTTTATGGTGTTGCTTGGTGAAGTTTTTGGTCGCATCTTACAAATTTTGCCAAAATTTGAGGCTGTGATTCTAAGTACCTTTCTTGTAACCATTTTGGGTTGGAGGCCTGACCTATAGTGGATTTTTCAATGTCTCTTATTTCCTCCGGATCTTTTTTTAGCTCCTGCAAAAAAGCTTTTTCCTTTTCTATATAAATAGCACTATTCAAATCCAAAGGTATACCGGGTGTTTTTCAAAACCCGCTCACCCCTATAACTTTTTTATTTTTGAAAATAAACATATGAAATTTGGTATGCTTATTTATGACCCGAAAGTACATTATTTGACGTATTCAAGTATTTTTTATCACTTCCGGTTCAACCGGAAGTGACCCTAACTTTCTTATTTTAAATGAGACGCCAGCCAAATTTTTCATCATTTCAATGGAAAACTACATTACGAGTACAATGACACCTCATTTGTCACTTTTTGACATTTCATCTTCTAATTATTTAAATTTTTACTTCCTAATCTAGAGCGCCATGAATTAGTTAAAATGCTTAATTTTGCTCCAAGGAACCTGGGAAAATTTGTTTTGATCTTATTTTGTATTTTATATCCTCTACAGACTCATTAAAAATAGTAGAAGTGCATTTTGGTAATTATCTCAATTTTTTCAAATGGAAAGGGTGTGGCTCATTACAATATTGCAAAAGAGCGTTTTCTAACGAGTAATTCAGTACCACACAATCGCTACTTCATCACTCAAATGAAGAATTTTCCTAGCATTCTAAATATTTTTGGGAAATTTTAGTTCAATATTTGAATAGACTAGTGACTGTGTGGTACTAAATTGTTCGTTAGAAAATGCTCTCTCGGAATATGCTAATGATCCATACCCTTTCCATTTGAAAAAATGGATATAATCCCAAAAATGCGCTTCTACTATCTTTAAATGAGTCTGTTGAGGATATAAAATACAAAATGAGATCAAAACAAATTTTCCCAGGTTCCTGGGAACAAAATTAAGCATTTTAACTAATTCATGGCGCTCTAGATTAAAAAGTGAAAATTTAAATAATTTGGAGATGAAATGTCAAAAAGTGACAAATGAGGTGTCATTGTACGCGTAATGTAGTTTTCTATTGAAATAAGGGAAAATATACCTGGCGTCTCATTTCAAATAAGAAATTTAGGGTCACTTCCGGTTAAACCGGATAAAAAAGTTAGAGGGGTGAGCGGCTTTTGAAAAACACCCGGTATATTGAGCATTAGGACCATAGTCCTTATCCGCGAGAGACTGTTCCATCATTTTTGTTATTTTTTCGGAAAATATCCTTTTTTTAATGATTAGCTTATTTTTCTTGCATTTCTCTACATATTTTTTCGTATAACGTTGAGGACTTGAGCGAACAGTTTCGCGAAGAAATCTGTAATAATTTCCACCAGAATTAAAAGATAACGCAGCAGCCTCACATCGCGTTTGGTAGGAGCCTCTTTTCGAGAAAAGTATGCGTTTGTCACCAACGAATTTGCATACAACACTATCAATGCTCCGCAAGGTTGTTGTCCATATTCAAGATTAAGCTGCTGGTGTTATCAACAACTCTTTGCAAAGCTACTATAATGTCTTCGTAAATACCACAGTCTTGCATACTTGTAACAAGATTGTGTTCATTTTCTTTTTCGCATTTGAAATACTGTATTTCCTTGCATTTGGCGTGCTCACCAAATATGTGACATGGTGCATTGTAGATATCACTGATTAAATTTAGATGGGTTTAATAATATAATGACCATTAATATAAATAGATAGGCATTTGTTACATTCCTATCCTATGCTAATAATCATAATAATGTACGATTTTTAACATACCACACCAGAAGAAGCATTGGCATCTACGTCACCCTCCGCTATGGCTATTTTGGCTTCTTCAGCTGCTGCTTCTTCCATACTTTTCCAAGCAGATTCTCTGATTATTATTTCTGCCACTTTTTCGTGATGATTATTGAAAGTGTTTGAAGTCATCGGTGGCATATTCAGGGAGGCAGCTATTTCATTAATCTGCGAGTAGCCAAGCCCAGCAGATAAGGTACCCAAAACCATAGAGGAGTTAACGTCCAGGTTAGAATGTGATTTTTCTTCACTGGTAATAATTTTTGTAACTAGACACATTTGACATTGTAAAGTATATTCACTATAAAAGCCGCTTCTGTTTTCGTTAATAATTCTCATATCAACCAAAGAGCAGTCAAATGGCCCATGCCTTTCTCCATTTAAAATCTAATTAAATAAATGCTGAACATTAAATAATCTCCTACCCTCCAATAACTCAGACTGGCTCCTAAAAGGTTTATTATTTGTTATTATTCAGGCCTAAAATCTGTTTTTTTTTAAAGATAAAACTCAAAATGACATTATGTTGGCAACACAATGTAAAATTGTCAATGCTTTCAAATTTTTATGTAGAAAAGGCTTGTGTTGCCAACATAGTTACTAAATTTTTGACTTGGGGAATTATCTTTAAAAAAAAAACAGACATTCAGGCCTATGATGTATCCACTCCTGTTATTTCAACAGCTATGTTATAGCTCAACATCTATACTTCTCTCTATTTTGACGTATAGAATAAACAGTGAGAAGCAACTTAACGTTGCTGTTAAAATAACCGAAAATGATACATCATAGGCCTGTTTATATGATGTATCATTTTCTGTTATTTTAACAGCAACGTTACGTTATCTGTCACTGCTTATTCTATATGTCAAAATAGAGACAGAAATAGATGTTGAGCCTCAACACAGCCGTTAAAATCACAGGACAGGATACATCATAGTTCTGATTATCAGTTGTGAAGCTTTTTAATTCTTATGGAAGCTACTATTACTTTTCATGATTAGTTCCTTCGTTTTCTGACTCTATGTCAAGCTCCATGTTACCTGATTCTCTAAGTAATGGGCTTCTATTGTTAACTTTGCTGAAAAATTATTATTTGTTTCATAAATCCGTAGAATATACAACCAAATCTATTTACCCCATAGAATTTTCTTCGCGCTTATCAATATTTTCATCCTCTTCATCCTCAAATGGTTCACAAATGAGTTCATATTCCCGTGGACGATTACTATAAAATTCAATACATAAACGTATACTTACATCATTACCTATTCAGTTTTTTGCAGATATTATTATATTTTATTACCGTTTTTTCATCGCAACTCGTCTGTTCTTGCGAACTGTTGATGCACATAATCGTTTTCTGCCACATAACTTTTAATTTTTCCTAGTCCGTCCCATGCTGCTAGACTGAACGAACACTGATACCGAAAATCGAATTATCAAGAAAATAAATATCCCCTAGAAAGGCACTTACAGGCAAATCACAAATTCTAAAAATAGTTCGCTTCCTAAACAAGTATCGGGCACCGCGCGCCAAACCAAGGCAGTGATGCCAAATTTTGTTTTAAGTTGTATAATAGCCCAACAAACACAATACGTACTGAAGACGTACATTTTAGGTCCTTTTTACGTCGGTTCGTCGGGGATGTAAAAGAACGTTTTGAGTACGTACGTAAAAAACTGTATTAACATACGGACAAAAAAGTACGTACCTACTAAGAACGTACGTGAAAATCTATATTGCGTACATCTTGTAGAAGACGTACATGTTCGTTTCAAAGACGAACAATACAGGACGAGCTGGATCATTCCCGTCTATTCATGATTTTTTTATCAATTCCTGATCATAATATATTTTTAATTAATATGCAATTTCCGAGCAAAATATACGGAAGTGGTAGCCTTCCAAATTAACCTCTAAACCCTACTAAACCAAATGTATGTGAACCAAATGCAGGCTGACGTGGATTCCTATTATTAAACCTTAAATCTAAACTTAAATAAATACGAATAAATTGTCATTATAAATGTTTTGTGAGGCAGGTCATATAATCAAGGATTTAAGTTGATTTAGGTACCTGACCTAAATAAATGGTCGAATGTTTAAAATAAACATGAAATGAACCAAGAAATAATCCAATGAGTGGAAAACAACGGACGCCGCCGTCGGTCACTTGTTTGCAGTGCACTGGTATATTATGATATAAGTGTATAAGAGGGCATTTAAAGCACGCGCGACATATTTCAAAACACGACCCGTAGCGGAGTGTTTTGTAAGTCGCAAGGGCTTTAAATGCCCTCTTATACACGCATATCATACGCTATTTTTTATTACGAATGCATCATTATCTCAAAAATGTTTTAAAAGTGTTCATTCATTTTGATAAGTAGTAATTTAAATGGCAGGTATGCAGGTAAATATCTAGGTAATGAAGGTAGATCGAACGTTTCTATAGCAAACCTTTGAAAAGGTAGACGCATCATAAACATAATTTTATGCACGCTGCAGCGTGCGATAATCGTTGATTATGATGCATGCGTAATAAAGAATGTTTTTTTTTTTTCCGAAATCCAACAATTTTACGGTTTCGAAGGTTTTAGAAGAAAATAGGATTTCCATCAAAAACTTGTTGTATGTAACATAATGAAGAATGAGGAAAAGTTTATTTAAACACGAAAACAAAAATATGCAAAAAAATTTCGAAAAAAATGTTTTTTCAAAATTTTCAAAATAACTTTCCCTCATTCTTCAATGAATTTAGAATATATAGCCAAAGTTTTGTTTTATTTAATGTTTTAGTGTTAATGCAATTCTTTGAATAAAATATGGGGTATTTTGCAGGTGATCAATGCTCTTAAGTGTGACATCGGTTTGGTATTTTTAATAATAAATTTTATAAACATTGTATTAAAATTAAAAAAACAACATCTTGAAACCTAAGTGTGATTTTTTTAAATAGTTTATGTTTTTTTTGTCAAAAACTAATAAATAATTGGTGGTTCTGAAAAAAACCTATTTTTTTCTTCTAAATCACCTCTCAGTTATCCAAAAATAATTCCAATACCACTAAAATCAGATAAAAAATGGTATTTTTTAAATTTTAGAACGGCCATATTGGAAAAGCCGCCATTTTGGTTCCTACAGGACCAAATAAAGTGTGCTGCGGGTGGAATCTCTTTAAATAGCCAAAATAACACCCCCATAAAATTTCATGCTTTTATCACAATTTGCAGATGGATTTGAAATACCGATGGCGACTATACAAAGCATCATTGATTTTACCCGAATTTTCCAACAAATTATCGATCTTCCCCAGTAATGACTCTCCTTAACCTAACTTGACTTCAAAAACTCTTCTGGACTGTGGTTAAAGGTCAACTCTATCATCCTCAAACTTCAGAAAATCTCTACAAAGCATCATTAATTTTTCAAGAATTTTCCATCAGATTATTGACTCCCCCCCCGTAATGACTCTCCCAGACCTAACTTGACTGCAAAAAAATCTTCTTGACTGTGTTTAAGGGCCGGTCAACTTCATCATCCTCATACTTCATGAAATTCCTACAATGTATCATTAATTTTCAAAGAATTTCCAAACAAATTATCGTTTTTCCCCCGTAGTGACTTTCCCAGCCCTAACTTGACTGGAGAAAATATCCTGTGACTCAATGTGCTTAAGGGTTATTTCTATCTTTTCCGAATCCCACAAATCACCTACATAATAAAATAATTTTGTTTGATTGAATTTCGCTGTTTTTTAATTTTCCTTTGCAATAATTATCTGGTCGACTTTAATATACACGAATCTGAATATGAATATGAAGCTAACTTCAGCCACATCGCTAAAGATATCAGACAAAACGAGACCCTATTTGGAAAATAGAAAGGTTTTCATCTGGAGCGAACTTTATTGGAGTAATTTTCGACCAACTCTGATACCTAAAGCTTGTCTCAACATCAAATAGAAATTCAAATTTAAGAGGAAACATTGGTAACAGACAGGTTTTGACGTCAGTGAATTAGTAAAAATGTGAAAATATACAGGGTAGGTCATTTAAAAAAAAAGCATAACCTTGGGTCATCACTACTTGTTGGGCCACCTTGATTATTGAATATTTTGGTCAACAAAGGACCCCGTACACCTCTTATGGGATTTGGGACTTCCGCCAAATTTTAGTATGCAATAGATTCCACCTTTCTGATCAATAGCTACGATGGGCACAACTTAATCCTATGACTAGTTTTTGAGATACAGGTAGTTTAATGTTCAAGAAATATATAGTCTGGGAGACGACCGCATTTTTCCTACCCCGATCGAGTTATGTGTCGACACTATTATCAATATATAGTATTTATTATGTGCATCTATTAACCTGTATTCCTGCCTGAGAGCAAATGCTGCCGGAAATATCTTTTAACAAATTATTAACAAATTGAAAAAAACGTAACACTACCCCCATCGAGTTATGCCCTAAGTAGGGTATCAGATTGAAGGTCTCGATGTCCCCTATCCAAAAAGTCGATCCTGCCTCGTGAGAACTTGCCGGAAAAGGGTGGCAGGACAGCTTATTGGTGCAAGGGCCCGCGGTCTCTGCTTTGACACCTATCAAGCTTTGCACTAAATGATGTGTCAAATTAAAGGTGCATGCATGTGCAACTCTTATGGCGCAATTTGTTCCGCTAAAAGCTTGAGACTACAGACGGCAAAGGCGCTGTCATCCAATGCTGTTGTCAGATTTATACACATAAAAAGTCCAGATTATTCTTTATTTGTTTTAAAAAGCTTCCAACAATAGGAAAAAAAAGTCGTGTACCTCGCTAACATATAATTGCTAGTAGTACGATTTGAAATTACCTTTCTTTTTCAAAATAAATATCCCATGCTTTTGACATGTGGCAGCGTCGCTTCACTTTTACTTTTTCATTATATTTTGACAAATTTTGACATATTCCATTTTTATTCAATAATTTGAATCAGAGATTGAAAATTTTCTCCGTTCAAAGCAAAATGGTTTTATCTTGTTGTGTGGCAATGTGTGAAAACCGAGGAAACAGAGTAAAAATTCATCGAATTCCGAAAAATGATGAACAGGTATGTTTCAATCCCTACATTATACCGAAATCGGGATTTTACCTCCTGTAATTTCACCACTGTAACTTTCTTTCTTTTTAGGTGTTCATTTTATGCCTGCAAAACGTTTACAATCAAGAAATCTTACTCATTGTAGGTACCTATTATTGATTGGATTGATGTCATAACTGTAGTTAATAAAGTAATTCAAAATTGTTATTTTTGTATTCAATACATGGATTAATTAGCATGTAACTTTTCGGTTTGTGATCAAGAGACTGTTTATCATAATTTTATTTCCACTAGAAACATATATTAAATTGTTCAGTGCTAGTGGCAATAAAAAATGATAAATGGATCCCAAAGAAAGAAAAATTAAATTTAAAAAGGAGCGCTTCCCGCGCTCTCAAGTTGCTGACTACACACGCGAGAGGGCGCTGTAATCAGGAACAAAATGTTTGTATTGAGTTGCCTATCTATAATATAGGTTCGAGAGAGTTTTGTATCCCTTATCTATGTTAAAGGTGTCAATAAGTTGATTTAAGGTCTGTTCGCACAGAAATCACAAACCAGTCAGAGCGATTTTCATTGGTTGGAAACAGTCAGGAAACTAGTTTCAACCAATGAAATTCACTCCTTCTGGTTTGGGATTTCTGTGCGAAGAGACCTTAAATCAATTTATTAACAACTTTAATTTGACACATCATTCAGGGTAAAACTTGATAGGTGTCAAAGCTGAGACCGCGGGCCCTTGCCCCAATAAGCTGCCCTGCCACCGTTTTCCGGCAAGTTCTCACGAGGCAGGATCGACTTTTTAGATAGGGGACATCGAGACCTTCAATCTGATACCCTACTTAGGGCATAACTCGATGGGGGTAGTGTTACGTTTTTTTCAATTTGTTAATAATTTGTTAAAAGATATTTCCGGCAGCATTTGCGCTCAGGCAGGAATACTGGTTAATAGATGCACATAATACTATATATTGTTAATAGTGTCGACACATAACTCGATCGGGGTAGGCAAAATGCGGTCGTCTCCCTAACTAATACTCATTTTATATGCATTTGCATCTACCTGTCACCTGAGTGTGCGAATACCTATGCATCCTGGTATATTATTAGGTGACAATAAGAGAAGGTCCGGCTTTGTTACCAAAAAACAAAAAGAACTCTTGGTCGAATTTTTGCACAAATATCCGGCCCTTTTATCGGGAAAATATTCGAACTGCTTTTCATGGAAGGAATTTCGAAACATTCTTTTGAAAGTCGAAAGTTTTTTATAAATTACCTAAGCATTGTTAATGCATGCATCTATTCTTGGATTTTTGAAGCCTTTGCGGCTATGGTTATACAATAGGGAACTTGCAAGTGAACTAAAATTTTCCAAATTTGTTTTAAATCGATAGTTTATGCTGCACAATATTCATATGACCAGTTTTTATTTAACTGATACCGCCCTTATTATACAAAAAATAATATTAAATTTGAAATAAAAATTTTCCCGCCAAAACAATGCTTCTATGATGGATACCTGTTTTGACGTCACGATTCTGTAAACAAACCCGTCAATAGGGAAATCTGTGATAGGGAACTTGCACGTTAAAAAAATACAAAAGCAGTCCTTCACAATATTCTTCATCCATTGCGGCAATTTTCATAAAAAGCAAACTTTAACACACTTGAATAACACAAAAATAGCACTGCGTCAGCAGGAGTTCGTTTGCTGCGTATTTGATGTTTACAAAATCTCAACGTCACAAGCGCTGTCAAATTGGGATTTCGTGTTTTCGCGCCAAAGTATGTGATTTGAATTTCAAGAATTTTTTTTTCGTACAACGTATAAATTAAAATGGAAAAAAAGAAAACTATGTAATAACTGATCACTAAGAAGTATCTAAAAAAAAATAATTCGAGAAATATGAAAATTCCCTATTCGGCCCTTTCTAGAACATTTAAATTAACAATATTTTCGAATTCCATGAGGCCAAGAATATTCTTGGTCGACTAAACTTAAATTTTTAATAAACTTTCGCGTGCAATTTGGAAATGCACGAGCTCTAGAGGTGACGCATGTCAAATGCAATCTTGCGTCGATGAATTTAGTGAAATGCGTCGACGAAAGTTTCAAATAAGCCACATGTGCATTTTTTTGTATTTCACCGGTAAAAATTGCGACTTAGTCAGACGTATTTGAATTTCACGTTTCAAATAAACCAGGTAGATGTGAATGCATATAAAATGAGTACATTTCTTGAACATTAAACTACCTGTATCTCAAAAACTAGTCATAGGATCAAGTTTGGTCAACGCTAAGTATTGATCAGAAAGGTCAAATTCATATCATACTAGAATTTGGTTAAATTTGGCGGAAGTCCCAAATCCCATAAGAGGTGTGCAGGGTCCTTTGGTAACTTTTCCAAAACTGTTAGGATGACTCGTGCCGAGGTAATCCATGGTTTCCAAAAATTAGAAGTTTTTGCACAAAGTTTACTTCCAAAAATCAAAAGATGATTTTTTTTTCACTTTCACTGTAGCTACACGACGCGATCTGGGGCATTGATAATAATAATTAGAACAGAACAACTAATCAAGATAAATGTAGACATAATGGAAATATTTTACTGAAGGATACATTAAGTTTTCTAACAGCGTCTCCTCAAAATATTTAATATTTTCAAACTTTATTTTGCCCGGATTGGTTGAAATTTTCATTTTGTAATTGAAAGGTCCAAATACATTTTAATCTTTTATTCTGCTTAAAAAAATTTGGGAAATCGATTTAAAAAACCTTTCAGCATACCTATAGCGATCAAGCATTTCAATATCCAGCTTCCTGTAATAAACAACTATACTATTAATATTTTTAGATTCTCAACACATACCTACATAATATAACCCAAATAGGACAAGGCCTTTATTAAAATACGTGCGAGCCCATAAATGTTTATAGGACCAACGTGCAAACTTTATAGATTAGCCAGGAAATCTCGGTGGACACAAGATGGACCAGCACGCTAATACATATTAATATACTTTGGAAGAAATGAGATAAGTTTGGCCGTTCCGTGCTACTATAGCTCTCGAGAGTCGTGTCCTGCCAACGCTATTGCCCTAATTAATCCCCTAATAATTGAAGCGACAATTTTCGTCATGGGATCAGATGACGAAGAATTTAATTCAATTTGCTACTTAATTTATTTAGACGAAGTAAACTGCATTTTCCAAGTACGTACAATCAAAAGCGGATATTCCACGGACAAACTGACGCTGGCGCAATTAAGGTCATACTAATAATGCACCACACGTTGTATTTTGGCTCTCACCTCTAGAAGAAAGTATTGGGGTTGTCCGCCGTCGAATCCCTCGGTGCATTCTACTTCCAGAGAGTCGTTAGTCCTGTTGACAATGGAACAGTTGTGCAAAGGGTCAGGTTTGCCTGCGCCGATGATATGAAATATGCATGGCTCTTGCTGTCTGCCTGCTAGGTTGTTAGCCCAGCACATCACCTGCAACATTTACTTTTTTGGAACAAGAAAATCCTTTTCCGGATAAATAATTTAGATTTATTTTTGTTGCTTGTCAACCCTAATTTATATTTAATGAGAGAGTTTGGGAATGTGCTAGATAAATTAAATTCTGTATCGTGTATTATAGGAGTATGTCAAATGAGTGATAAATTTTATGTTGATAGTTCACGTTACATTGTTTATAGAATGAAACTAGTGAAATGTTTATTGTTTGAAAAAAGATGGTGTAAGCTGAACTGAAAATTGTAGATACTGACTTAAAAAGACCTACTCTTGGATGTGCAGCTTCCTAATTAGGAATTGAATATTCAAGAATCTGTACATAATAAAAAAACTTTCTAAGCTTTTATCGTTTGATTCAGCTAATCTGAGCAAAATTAACGATGTTGCGAAATAAGTTAGTTGAACTTACTGTTCCATAATCTAGTTCTGTTACAGGAGTATACGTCAACGTCGAAGAAAAACGATACTCTGCGGAATTGTATCTGGTCTGCGGTACTTCCATAGTTTCTGCCGAGTTATTAAACGACCAACTAAAACTATCCGGAGGTGGGTATGATTCAACTTCACACAAAATTTTTGCATCTTCATGTCGGGCAACCCCGTATATAATTTTTTGACTTCTTCTGCAAATCGGCTTGTCTGCAAAAGTTTTTAAATTTTTAACAAAGCAATAAATCCGAAACAAGTCATTACTACCTAAGCATCCTTTACGAGTACAGAATGATGGGCCACTAAATCCAGGGACGTGTACAAAATGTACCGAAATAAAAATAAAAGATTTCCAATAATACGCATCATTAGATTTCTGCAAGATTTTGTGTGTCCGCCAGCTTCAGGCTTAAGTGTGCATAAAATACTCTGGGTCGCTGAGTAAATAATGGTTCGATTTCTTGTCGTACGGTTTATTTGGACAGTAATATGAAGTTCAGTCATCCAAGGTTCAGAAACAGCGTTTTCAGGAAAAAAATGTAGAAGTTTTTTCTCACCGGTTCTATATGTTTTTTGGGGTGCTGAATCCGAATCTGAGGCTTGCCAACTCGTCAGACGTCGGCTTCACACAAAAAATTGCAGAAAACCTTAAATTTTCGGCACTTCTTTCAGGTTTCCAACTATGACTCGAAAACTAAGCGTTTTTTAATTATAACTATGATGTACCAAATTAAAGTAAAAACATTTTTTTAAAAGTTCCTATTGTTCATCGATTTTAATCTGATACTCGGACGGAATGTGAGCTGGTGGCTCCCTACATTAGAACGCCAATGGTTACCTGACGTCACATCTGTTTTTGCCATATGAAACACTCCCTCGCTCCTCATACGGAAAGTGTCAGTTAAAAATCGACGAACAATACGTATAATAACGCGAGAGTCTCGATAATCCACAACGACGTTAGATCGTGTTGAAATGGCATTTCTTGATTTTTCTTCAAAAAATAAAAACATATATGGAACAAATTGCCATTTACACAAAAAAAAACATCATTATTCAATAATTTTCATATTTATTATTGATTCCTCGCGTCCACATCTGCAGAATTATGACCAGGGATGGACTGGGCTCTGAACTTACGGCGGGCGATTTCCTACAAGGGGCGCCATCACCAAGAAAAAGTTGAAGTAGATATAGGCTCACTTGAACCTGGGAACTTTTTCGATAGCGTGGGAAAATTGGCGGATTTTGGTGGTTTTGTACTGGTTTTATGCTGGTTTAGCTGGTTGTGTGCTAGTTTTCACTGGTATTGTGCTGATTTTCATTGCTTTCCACTGGTTTTATGTTGGTTTAGCTGTTTTGTAAAACTCAGCACAAAACCGGCTATAACAGCAAACAGTGAATAAAACAGCTAAGCCAGCCTAAAACCAGTGAAAACCATCAAAATCCGCCGATTTTCTCATCTATCGAAAAAAGTTCCCAGGCTCAAGTGACCCTTTACCCGCTAATTGAAAGTTAGGCTAATTACGTTATCGACAAGAATGAATTACTACACCGTTATTTGTTTCCCAAGAAAAAAATCAATATTTTATTGAGGTTTACGCTAGTTTTAGCTACATTATTGATAATTTCATTATTGTCTAATGACATGAGTAAATTTTTTAAACCACTTCCAGGTTGTTGTGATTTAGGTTACTTCGTAATTTATTTAAATATACTTCAGCTTCTTGAGCTTCAATTACAACTAATTTGCGCAATTGATAGTCGACAAATATTTGTAAGCTTTCGAAAGTATTAGATAAGCATATGCGTGAAGGTTGACACGGTCAAAGTGTACGTGGATCAAGTACCCTTGGACGCTGCGCGCGCCTCACTTTGACGATACTTGGATGGTACCAACTGTTCATCCAAGTAAGTAAGCTTGCTTCCAACTTGATCCAAGTACTCATCTAAGTGCACTTTGACTGTGTCAAACTGGTTCTAAGAATGAATTTGATTGTTAGCCTGTAACTGCAATAAATACAGTTTTTGCGAGACTTGCAAACTGTTGCACTAGTAATCTATTCTAATCTTCACTGAAAGGAATACACGAGAAAAGCTCAAGGCTCAAGCAAAATGGTGGTTGTCGGGCGGAAGGCTCTCGGTACAAGAATAGCGTGACGGTTCGAATACAAACCTAACCTAATTTACAGAGACGCTCTCTATCGGGCGTGGTAAAAGTCTCAGAATTTAATATAAAACTTTAATAGAAATTCTGAATTTTTATCAATATGAGAGCACTACATTAATAAATAATCGATATTCCGAATTTATTGAAAAATATTTTTAAACCTTATTTCGATATTATTTAAATTTTATAACTGAACGATGCCGATGGGGCGCTAAATCTTAAGGGCGCGGCGGGCTCCGCCCGCCAGTCCTTCACTGATTATGACCTTAAACAATGAGAATGAAGACTTTGGATAACCATAATCGTTGAAATAGCCTGAAAAGAGCAATAAATCTGAAGTAGAACGAATTGTGATTGCACAGTGAATCACGCAAGATAGAAGGATGACAGCAGTAGAATACTAATTAGAATTGAAGGCCAGTAGACCTGTGTAATTCATTAATGATTCTTTCGAAAAGAACGAATCACTTCACTGACTCTGAGACGATCTGAATTAATTCACTTTTGAATCACTGCCACTCCGAATGAGTGGGACTGTTGCTGTGCGCCTCGCCACTACGAAAATAATGAACGAACGAACGAAACGAATTGAACGAAAACGAAAGTACTGAGACAGAATCAAGACAAGAATCACATGCTCACAGGATCCTAATTCTTGAAACAAGGGAGCAATGTTCCCAGGAGAACGAGTGTTCCGTCTTCCTCAATGATATGCAAATGAGAATCACAGAACATATCACCTCTAGAAAAGTATCTGCAATGGTATGTACCGGTTATGAATTACGGCGCCCTCGTTGACTGAAAACCCAACTAATCGAGTATTCTTGACAAAAAGGCGAATTGATTTTTTTCATATATTTTTATTATTTTTGTATAATTTTTAATCTTCAACTGCATTTGGCTTGCTGACTCCTCTTAGCTCTTTCGCCTCATTTTTTTAAAAAGTATGACTGGCAGGAAGTGTCCGATGTCGAACATAGTGCAAAAAGAGTTAGTAAGTTAGCAAGAGACACGCAGCTATAGGTAGATCGCAAAGTAAATACGAATAATAAATACAAATACGAACGAAGCGAAACAAACGAATAAATACAAAAAAATACGAACAAAAATTAGGTTTTTTTTCAACCAAAACTTTTTGAATTTTCACTTTACCGCGCGTGGGGACCATGGTTTACAACAACATAATTTAAAAATTCAAATTTTGACTTTTAAAATGACAAAATAAATGACAAACCAACCAACCCAAATCCCTGTCCACACCACAGATACCTATAAATTTCTCTTATCTCCCGACAGTGTCGCCATCGTTGAATGAAAACCTAACTAAAAACCTTTGTCGCGATTCTTCCATTTGAGATATTTTTCTATAGGTGATATGTTCTGTGATGAGAATTTCATACATCTGTCAAAACTGGTATTCCAACAATAAATTGACATGTTTTGATTGTTGATTTGAACCAATCAGATTGTAATAACGCGATAATTTGCACTAGTGCAAATTATCAGATAATTGCATACTAACTGGTGCGAAAACTGGTGTTTTGACATTTTTTTGACAAAAAATTTAAATTTTTGATTTATGAAATTCTCTCATTAAATACAACTCGTGCAATGGTAATATATTTATAATTTTCGACAAATTTGCACTCATGCGTTTTTAACTGAAAAAGGCACTCGTGCACTACGTGCACTCGTGCTCTTTTTCAACTAAAAATGCATTCGGACAAATTTCCCAAAAATTATCAATAATTTCCATTGCACTAGTTATATTACTATTGATAATATAAGTAACAAAAACGGAATATTCGTTCTCCTAGGAATGCTGCTCCCCTGTTTCAAGAATAAGGACCCTGCGGTATTTCACTCATTGTTCCTGCGTTGTTCGTTATTTCCAAAGCTTAGTTAGTTCATAAGTGAATCATTCAAGAATCACTCGTAATGAACGAATCACTTTTGGTGAACGACTCAAATGAATTAATTCAGCAAAAAGATCCAAAACGCCCAGCTCTAGAGGCCAGGATACAAGAGGACGGCCTTATATGGGGGGCCGATGATCGTAAGAAAATACGTGGACTAAATTGGAAACAAGAAGCGCAGAACAGAGACCTTTGGCGTAAATTAAGAGAGGTGCATATCAAGAGTTGAACCACAAATGTCTAGAGAAGATGACTGGTCTTTATTCGGCACTAAGTATTTGCCGAGCAATCCCGATAAACAGTTGTGATGAAATTACCAAAGATGTTAGGTCGAAACTCACAAGTATGTCGTACAAAACGTCGCTGCAGAGGCAAGAACAATGGGTGAAACCGCTTGCTTTTCTGCATCTGTCAATACGGTACTTCTACAGACGCTACCGTAGAGGCGACATACGATAAAAAATTTCGTTGAACTAGATCATTTGGTGTCTCCACCTTCTTGACCAATAAAAACTAGTATTTGTTCAGGTCCTAAGTGGATGTCCTGATGGCCTTGACGACTGGTGTCAGCGAATCCTCATGGATTGATGAAATACCATATAACTGTTGTATCAAACCAGATTTGATTATTTTATTTATTAGCTATAACTAATAATAAATATGTATATCTGCTGTCTGACATAAGTAGCTAAAAAGATCTACTTTAATTATCGATGTTTTTATTTTATTTATTGTAGTTATTTGTGGATGCAAATAGGTACATGTGTTTAAATAAATTTTTGTTTTTTTTATTTGAATGGCTATAAATTAACAAAAACGAGTAAACTATTCACAGCGACATTTGATTATCACCAGTTATAACCTTAACAGAGAGAGAGGAAAAATATCTACTTCAAATATAAAAGAGTTCATTAGCATGTTTATGAAAAACTTACACATTATTTTTAGCTGGACAATGTTGCTGTCTCCGTCACCCTCAACGTTCGACGCGACACACGAGTAATTTCCCGCTTGGCTTCTCGAAACTCCCTGAAGAGCCAGGTCTGTCGCACTAATTATAACGCCGGCCTTTTGATTTGCCTGCATCACTTGATTCTGTAACAAGAGAAGTTAATGAGTTATTATTTCATAAACGAACCGCTTCTATTGAAAGAGAATCATTAAATGTTTCACTCTATTTTATGCTAGACCGCAAACATGGAAATTGTTACCTACATGCTTCTCTTGCTTTTTGAATTTAGGCAATAAATATCATATGCCAAAATAAGTAGTGAAACTTTGTTTCATCAATAGTTTTTCTGTGATGGCTTTCTCTATATTTTCTTTAAAATAGAAATAATTTACCGAAAAGCCTGTAGAAGATGTACTAGACCAGAAAACCTAACAGGAACCTCTGACCTAGTAGCACCAAACTGTGGAATACCGTAAACAATATGATAAGCACTATTCTTAAGTAAAATATCAAGCACACTGACACGAGAACAGGACTAGGAGAAAACACTGACCATTTGACCAGATAGTAGTCAGCGTGTAGAAGAGAAGGAATTTAGCCAAATTTATTTTTTGAATTCTACACTACCCACAAGCATAGTTCAACCTTTAATCCTCAGATTATAATCTCAATACAAGCTATTCATCTATATTATCATTTTAAACATTCACTAACTAAAACAGTTGAGAGATGAGAAGACGTCATTTTTTTTTCTAAATTTAGCGTTACATGATTAGTGAATTTATCCATCAGCTTCAAATGGATGTAATGGACACTTCAAATAGGCAAATTCGTATTTTTATGTATAGGACAGTTATGGTACAGGGAGTCAACCTATTTATTGACGTTGATTACTTAACCGAATGCCCAGGATTTAGTGCAGTCGGACTGGCTGCCGGAATATGTCGATTTTCTAATTGCATATGTGGATATTAATGCCTCAATAGAATTTGCGCTTTTGATTTTCGAATAACTAACTGGACCTGGTCTATAATTTAGAGCCTCCCCCTCCGGTTGTTTCAATGTAACCTCCCTATTGAAATGGATTGGGGGATTCAAAATTTTCCACTATGAAATAATTAATTTAATTGTCATCCAGTTGCGAGATTTATTGTTACTCTTTTTTTAATGAGTAGCCGACTAAGCGATTGCTGCAAGACAAACTTGGTATAATGGGTCTTTCCCACTCAACTGAATTTAAGTATTTCATCCATATGGTTTGGAAGCTTATCCGACAAAATACTTGAAGGACTATGTGGTTGATTTTTAAAAAAAAATATTAAGAGAGATATTAAAGGGAAAAATATGGCAATATTTGAAATAGTCCGCCAGATTTTGCACCAATCAGAATGCGCTTAGTTGTCCGATTTACCGGCCGAAGCTGTTCCCTATCGAATATTTTCTTCTCTTTAGTCGAATGAAGAGGATAGAAAAGGAAAAAAAAATATCGACATAAATGTGGTTTATCGATCCCTATTCCAGCGATTATTTTTTAGCTTTATCTTTTACGCTTTATTAGACAAAGACATGACACACATGATTTGTGTGTTTTGTAATGAATTCTAACCTGAAACCTACACCTTTACCTTTCGCACAGCTTTTGTTTACCTGTGCAGATTACACCTTTAATTTCCAAAAATCTGGTACTGAAAGGGCCTCGATTAAGGGTACTTTTTGTAAATAAAACATTTTCGATTTGTGCTGTTTATTGTACTCTTCGTTTTGTTGTGTAAAATCGAGGTTCAAATTGAAAGCTGTTGAACAGGGATTCGAGAAAGCCGATTTTGCAAGTTTACCCCAAGTGATCATGGAAATGGTGGCGGAATGGAATATTTAATTAAAAATGCAATCTACTTCAGTACTGAAATAAGAAATGTGAATTTAAAAAGGTGAGCTTTATTTTGCGTTATTTTTTACCAAAACTGCCTTTCAGAGATAATAAAAGTTGTAGATTCATACTGAACATAATAATTATAATAAGCAACTAACAAGCATTAACTCATCTATTGTCCAAAGTAGGTTAGGTACCTACTACAACTAAGTTTTTTTTTTTTTTTTTGTTTTTAGATAAGCAAAGACCAATGACCTGCAAAAATAGAATAATATGGTCAATGCTATTAGTTAGGTACAACTGAAGAGAGAAAGTCAACATAATTGTACCTACTGTTCAGTGTAGAACTGTAGAATAACCCCATAACACAAAGTACATAAGAGCAAATAAGAGTCATAGTAGATGGAGCAAATAGATAGATAGAACTTCATTGGGTCTCAAAAACGAAAATCTCACCCGTATATATGTGTAGCTTGTAGGTACCTACTTACCTACCTCGATGGTAAATACTTACATACAATGAATGATCTAGGAATTTTGTTACTACCCTACTACACTGTTATACATATTTTATTATTGTTGTAAAAACTGTTAAAATGGAGTTTCTGTGAATAAATAAATTGAAAGTTGATTGTATCATATTATGATTCAAATAAGTAGGATCAAGGCGATTTTTGTACCTACATATAAACTGATACCTAGCTATATATTGCATTTGTAATGTATTTTGTATAAACCTGGAACCATTATCGATTTTAATAAACTTTTAAAACAAAATTAAATGGTATAAATGTTGTTATTTTTTTGTTTATAGTAGTTTTGTTATGTACATGTTTCTTTTGAATGCATCAGATTTAAAATTCTAATGTGAAGTAAGTACCTAATTAGTCTACCGACCGACCACGGTTAAATCCTCAGACGCCCCAATAAAAACCAAAATTCAGGTAAATGGGTTTTTGGAAATGGCGTAATTTTAGTTTATTGAATCCCAGCTATATTTTCAGATAAATAAAATGAAATTACTCTTTGTTTACATATCAAAAATGAGGGCTCAGTAGACCTGCCCCCTGGGGGGGCTAGATCAACGCTAGCCCCCCCCCCCCCCCCCCCCCCAGTTGTTAAATCCTTTTCAAAAGGCTAGCGCAAGTTCGTGACACCTAGCGCAGCCTAGCGCAAGTTGTGTCATAGCTAGCGCAGCTATCGTAGCTGTCATACAGGGTGGACAAAAAAAATCATGAGCCCCTACAAGTGATTTTTAATTTTTCCAAAATATATATGAAGCTTCCTTAAAGCTGCCGCTAGCCCTCCCCCCCCCCCCCCAGTTGTTAAATCCTTTCCAAAATGCTAGCGGAAGTTCTTGACACTTAGCGTAAGTTGTGTCGTAGCTAGCGCAGCTATAGTAAGTAAATGTTATACAGGGTGAACTATGAAATCTTACAAAATGTCGCCAGCTCCAAGACAAGATTTAACGTTTACAAGCGCTATCTATTCGCGAAGTTATACTTTTTTTTATAGCCGGGCCGGAATCAGAACAAATCAGAAAACAGATAACAGTGAAATTCAAACCTAATATGAGAAACACATACATGCCACCGCCTGGGATCACCACATGCATTCAACCAACGTAATTCTCAATTGGTGATAAAAAAAAGTACTAGCTCTTGCTTCACAAACCTGGCAAACCCCACCGCCACCACCACTAAAAATGTCGACAATATTCGGTATCGATATATCGACGAACTAAATATCGATATGTCGTTGCCATCCCTAAACTCACTACAGTGACAATAAACCTAACACAGTGGCGACAATAGAGGTCCCGCCGCCACTTTGTGGCTTTCCTCTTGCTAATTTTAAAAACGAATATAAAGGATTTAAATCGATATTTATCATACAAAATTGAAAACAATGTATTTGATGACCATTATTAGGTATATCAAATACGTTGTTCTCAATTTGTTATGATCGATGTCCATAAATCGTATATATTCATATTCAAAATTAGCAAGAGTTACGCCACAAAGTGAACACAGTTCATTAATATGAACATATTATAGGATTTTAAAAAACCAATCATAAATAAGACTGCAATTATTGTCGCCACTGTGGTAATACAGTCACTGTACAACCCAGTAGTTGCGCGCGCATCAAGGTTGAAAAAGATACCTACCTCAATTTTTTCATTTCTTTGTGAGGTTAAGTTTTAGTTACCTACTTCGCGAATAGATAGCGCTTGTAAACGTTAAATCTTGTCTTGGAGCTGGCGACATTTTGTAAGATTTCATAGTTCACCCTGTATAACATTTACTTACTATAGCTGCGCTAGCTACAACACAACTGACGCTAAGTGTCAAGAACTTCCGCTAGCATTTTGGAAAGGATTTAACAACTGGGGGGGCTAGCGGCACTCTCGCCGCCTCCCGAATAAATACCTGTATGTGTGTATGTTTTAAAGGGGTAATGCGGTTGCTCGAATTTTACCTGCGCAAGCTTTAAGGAAGCTCCATATATATTTTTGAAAAATTAAAAATCACTTGTAGGGGTTCATGATTTTTTTTGTCCATCCTGTATGACAGCTCGATAGCTGCGCTAGCTTGACACAGCTTGCGCTAGGCTGCGCTAGGTGTCACGAACTTGCGCTAGCCTTTTGAAAAGGATTTAACAACTGGGGGGGGGGGGGGGGGGGGGGGGGGGCTAGCGTTGATCTAGCCCCCCCCCCCCGAATAAATACCTGTATATGTTTTAAAGGGGTAATGCGGTTGCTCGAATTTTACCTGCGCTAGCTTTAAGGAAGCTGCATATATATTTTTGAAAAATCAAAAATCACTTGTAGGGACTCATGATTTTTTTTGTCCACCCTGTATGACAGCTACGATAGCTGCGCTAGCTATGACACAACTTGCGCTAGGCTGCGCTAGGTGTTACGAATGTGCGCCAGCATTTTTGAGAAGATCGAATAACTGGGGGGGGGCTAGCGTCACCCTAGCCCCCCCCCCCCCCCCCGAATATTAAGCCACCTATCTTTTGACCTGTAGCTGCGCTAGCTTTCGAAAAAGTTGCGCTAGGTTGCGCTAGCTCTGGAGAACGAGGGCTAGCGTTTTGGATAAAAATTATCAACTGGGGGGGGGCCAGGTCTACTGAGCCAAAAATGAGGTTAAATTCATGAAGAATAGAGATCGATGGGTTATCGAATCCTTATCGATATGTCACTTTGAGAACACAATTCGTAGAGAAATTTCGTGAAATCAAAAACCGCATGGCAACACTGGAAGA